CGCCTCTGGGCTTTGGCACGGCCTCTCTCTCGGCACCGGGAAGCGTCACCCTGCGCGTTTTACCCCCAGCGCTTCTCCCGCTCCCCGGGAGTGCCGGTCCCCGCCGTCAGCAGAGCCGCTGTCACAGCGGGCATAGGGGAATCGATAGCGCGAGTTTTTCGTGGCGTTCGAAGTGAAGGCAATTCTATCGCAACATCAAAATTCATCACGTCAGCTCTCGCGCCCGGCCGTGCATCGATTTTGACCTCATCGGGCCTCGTTGCGTCCTCCCTTTCCAGTTCCCATTGCTCCTCTCCGGACGAGCTCGCTCGGCGGAGGCTCTGTTAATAATTCCCTAACAGACTCTCACTGATTAAAGCCTTAAAAATTCTCACTAGAGTGAAATGGATTACCCGCCAGATTAGGAGAGGATTATCTTTGTCATTAGCGCGGCAATAGTTTGTCCGGCAGAGTCTGTCGAGGTTTATCGAAAGTGACTTTGCAGCGCGCCACCAGCGCGGGCAGAGATCAAACTCCGCGTGGAAACGTTCCCGGGTCTATCAGCAGAGCAAGACAGGGCCAGCTCCGGGAAGGTGATAAATGACCGGACTTCAAAGCCACTGACATGGCCGTGATAAGGGCAGGGAAACGCGTGAGTCACGGGAGGGAACAAAGAACTTTGCAAAAACCGCTTCTTGGGAAGTCCCGCCTGCAGACGGCCCACGCGGAAAGAGCGAGAAGGGAAGGCGGAGACCTGTGCGCGAAGTCAGGAACCGCCCACGCGTGGCCGTGGGGCTGCTCCCACCGTCCGGGAAAGGGGAAGATGTGGGAGTGTCCCGTTACAGGGCCGATGCGGCTGCAGTGCAATTCCCCGTTCACTTCCACCCGCGGGGCGGGACCAGGGACCTCGGAGGGGACTGGGATGAGAGCGTCCGGGCTCCTGTTCCCATTGACGCCCGCCGCCCCTCGATCTCTCACCCCGCACTTCGCCAAGAGCCAGGCTGCTGGATGCCCATTCCAGCAGCGCTGCGGGATGCTCCCGACACCGCCTCTGTCCCAGGCTGAACCAGCCCCGCTCCAGGGGAGCCTTCCCGCCCCAGGCAGCTGCCCCGGCTTCCTCTGCCTCGCCAGCCCTTCGCCCCTCACGGCTGTTTGCTGCACCGCCTGTCCCAGAAACGCCCGCAAGTCTTCGATGCGGTCTGACGGGC